AAATGGAAAAAACAATAAAAGTTTGATGAATAATTGAAATGAGCAAACCGGTCACAAAAGTTGACAACTAAGAAAAATCAAGAAAATGATTGATTTACAAAATGGGTATATATCAATAAGTAAGGTAAGAAAACATTTTGTAACTTTTGGGATAGTATAAAATATCAATACGAAATTCTAAAAAAAAAAAAAAATCGAAATGGAATAAAATTATCACGAAAAAAAAGTTTATAATTTCATGAAAGGATAATTATATCAATATAGATTTGTGGAAATTTTAAAAATATTTTAAAATCTTCCAATTTTATTTATTTAACAAAAATTTTTATTCAGGAATAGCTATAATTAATTAACAATTATAATTACCCTCAATTTCTCGGTAATTTAAATATATTAGTATTAATTAAAGTATTTTACGATTAATTAAGGTATTTTAATAAAAGTATTAATTAAAAGTATTTTGATTAAAGTATTAATTAAAGTATTTAAAGTACTTAAATTAAATGCATTTAATGAATGATTCGGATACGTCAAATTTGTATCAAAATTTCTTAACCGGCTTCATTTTCCGGAAATGAGTCCGTTAAACTTGTTTGTTCAAAAGCAGTTTAAAGAAATTTTGATATAAGGAAAAATTTAAAACAAAAAGGCATTTAGACAAGAAAATACCACATAAAGAGGAAGAAAAAAATCACTGATAATACATTCCGTTTTGTTTTTTGCTTTTCGTTTTGGCATAGCTTTATTAAAGCTACCGTATCCTATACTGTAACATGTGCTATTACACTTCTAAAACTTTGACATACTGTAAAATACAGAATGCATGGTATTCGATATGTAAGCATTAATGAACGAGATAAGTTAATAGCGTAAACTGGTACGCGTAAACTAGATTTTGAAAGAGAAATCCAAATTTATTTCGTATTATTTAATATAGCTTATACGGTTTAAATGATTTTAAGCTATATTAAGCTTAAATGGTTTTAAATTTTAAGCGTTTTAAGCTTTTAAATGGTGAAAAAAAACACTTACTACACGTTAAAACGTGCAAATAAAAAAGTGTTGAAATTTGAAATGATACGTTATGATTATCATTAATCATCGTTGTTATCACCATAAATAAGCAGCTTTTAGCAGTAATAAAGTAAATTATCACTATCATCACCATCATCATCATCATCATCATCAACAATCACCATCATTGTTATCATCATAAGCATCTTTTAGCAGTAATAAATTATCACCATTATCATTTAGCAGTAATAAATTATCACCATTATCATCATCATCGTCATCATTTTCATCATCATCGCCGTCATCATCATCATCGGTCATCATCACTATTATTACCATCACCATTACCATCATCATCACCATCATCATCATCATTATTACTATCATCGTTCATACTTTGAACATGTTATCAATTTAATTTATTCCAATATATTTGTACTTATTTTAAATTATTTTCTTTTATGCTATCATCATATTTTATTTTTTTCATTATTTTGCTATTAGATTTTTTTTTGCTTATAATAGAAATTCATTTAATTACTTAAAAAACGAAATTATGCAGGAAATGATAAAGAAATAGAAAGGAATAATTTAAAAGTGTAATAAATATTTTAGATGATGCAAAAATAATTTTAGGATAAAGTAATCATCAAAAAAAAATGGGAAAAAGAATGATTTGCATATGTTAATATTGTTTGCATTATAAAAAAAAAAAAGCAAAACAAGTTAATAATTAAATTTGAATTTTTGCACTTGATTAGAAATAAACAAATTAAAGATGATTAATTCAGAAGCAAATAAATCAAGCTTAATTAAATTTTTTCAATAAATTTCCAATTTTGATGTTGGATGCTAAAAATTGAAAAGGAAAAAAAATCATTTTATGAGATTTCAAGGAAAAAAAAAACGAAATTCTCGAATGTAAAAGCATGATTAAATTTAGTTGAAACATGCGCATTTGTTAAATTAGCCAAGAAAATTTATGAATAAAAAGCAATCTTATTTATCTTTTACTAATTTTATTTCAGTTATACAATTCCGATACAATTGCGCTTACATCTTTAAAACAGATGTCGTGATTTCGTAAATTTTAGGAATTAATTTCTCCCTTTTTTTTTTTGTTTTGCTTTTTTTTTTTCATGATTCTTTCATAAGTCATTCATTCATTACTAAAATTTTTATCCATCCATTGAATGATTCGTTCCAATTATTCGTTTTAATTTTTTTTTTTAAAAAAATGAAAATTGCATTTTAGAGATTACATTTTTACCGTTTTAATTAGCATTTCAACGAAATATTTCTGCAAAAAATATTTCTTTTAAAAAAAGAAAAAAAAAGAATCGAAAGAAAATAAAAGTGATATAATTTGGGGAAAAGGGAGCAGGTATAGGTAATATTTAAAACAATAATTATTGTCAAATTGTTAATTGATTACTAACCAAGCAAATTTTAAACAAAACAAATTAAACGATGGTGAAATTAATTTAGAAAAAAAAAAATTGATGGAATTATTCAGTAATTATTAATTAGTAATCAGAAATGCGCTGTATAACAAATAAGTGGTAATGAAAAACAGAAATAAATAAATTAATGCGAGAAAATTGATAAGATGAAGAATTCAGAATTTGGTAAAGTAAATGATAAATGATATCAATTAATAGGATAAAGCCTAAAAAAAAATATTTAAAATTATTTCAAAATTAGAATAATTGGTAGTATCTGAAATTACTGTAACATTACGAAAATAAATATCTAAAGCTTTTGTAAACATTAAGACAATAAATATCTAAGGAATACTCTGGAAGTAAGGCAATAGCATTCATGATTACTGTAACATTAAAGCAATAAGTATCAAAAAATGCTGTAACATTAAGACAATAACTGTTAAACATTTATTGCAATATTAAACAATAAGCATTTAAAGAAATACAGCTTACAACACTAGAGTATTAAATAAATGAAAGAGAAGCAATATTAGGAAGAATATCGTGTAAACGTAAAAATATTTTAATCTTGTAAAACAATCAAATTTATTTTAAAAAAGAACGAAAAAAAGAAAAGAAGAAATTAATCTTAGATTTTTAACAATTCTCATAGATTTCATTTTATTTTTTAACGATTTTAATCGTTACTTACTTTCGTTTCATTTTTTTTTATCAACTTTTACAATCACAAAATATTCGAATTTTCACGTAAATTTTGTATGAATTCAAAAAATTTTCATTTCAATTAGTATCCATTTAAATCAATATTTTTGTTTCAATTTTCATTTCAATTACTAAACAGTAAAACATTTAAATTCTACGTGCATTTCATGCATTAATAATTTAAAATAAAAATTTCGAATTCATTAAAATTTGACTAATTTTTTTTTCAATAACTCATTATCAAATTTCATTGGTAATTTTTCATCTTACTAATCACTAAAAAGCTACTGATAATTTTCACTTTGAAACTCTGAAACATTGATAGCTTTGTATCATTGATCATTGCTAATCAATAATTATCATAAATCATTGATAATTTTATGCCATTAATTGAGCACTATAGAAGTGTGATAAAGTTTGTGATCATTATAGATTATTGATAGATTACTAAAAGAGCTTTGAATTTACCGAATGTATTTTTTTTTTTTTCTTATGAAGAATGAAATTTTTTCACATACAAAAATTTTAAAAGTGATTAAGACAAGAAGAATGAATGGCTAATGATGTGATATGATGTGATAAGAAAATGTATTTTTAATTTTTTTAAGCTGGATTTTTCAAATCAATCATCCCTACATTTCCTCATTCTTATCAACTTTCTTTTCTTTTCCTTTTTTCTTTTTTTTTTTTTTGAAAATGCTAGTTACATTAGTGATATTGGCATTAATCATAACTATATTATCATTTATATCACTAATTATAATTTTATAACTATATTATCATTTATATCACTAATTATATTCCCACTCTTATTTATAATTATGTCATTAATTTTAATATGATATTATTAGTTGCAATAATAGCGTATTGAAACAAGGAAATATCAGAATTATTTGTAAGGTTTGTTTTAAATAAATAAAATAAATGTATCATTTATATTACTAATTATAATTATATTCCTACTCTTATTTATAATTATGTCATTAATTTTAATATGATATTATTAATTGTAATAACAATGTATTGAAATAAGGAAATATCAGAATTATTTGTTTTATTTAAAATAAATAAAGCGAATAAAATGACTATTATATTTGCATTTAAAAATTTTGATAAATCAGATTATTTATCAGCATTAGAAGTTATCAGATTATTTATCAGCATTAGAAGTGATCAATCAGTAGTGATAATGATGATTATAACGAAATGAGCGAAACTAATAATGATAATGATGAATACAATAAAAATAAGTAAAATTTGATACTCATAAAGTTATTGGTTAATGAACATTGTTTAAATACGAATATAATAATTCATTTTTATTATTTGATTTCAAATTTTGATCATTTCAAAATATTTTTCTTTTGGAATAAAAAATGATTACATGATTATTGATCTTTTTCGTTATCACAAAAAGGAATGCATTTTTTTTTCTTTCATTCAGTAATCATTGCAATATACACATAATGTATCATTTTACGCAATTTGTGAATGTTTGAAAATTATTTGTTAAAAAAAAAAGAAATCAATCAATATTGCTATACTTTAACATATAACAATATTTTAATTTTTTTTTTTGATAGATATAACAATATTTTGATGAGTTTTTTAAGCAGTCTTTTTTTTGTTCATGTAGTTTTGGTTATTACAAGCAATTGCAATTGTTTCTGATTAAATCTTGTAGTGAATTTTCAAGGCTTAGCTCTTGTTAATTTCATATTAGCTGTAATAAGCAGTATTCACTTAATGTTATTTTGATAGTATGATAAGATATTTTGGATTTGATTATTTATTTTAATTATTGTACCAAGCAAAAAGCTTCTCAGAACAATGTAGAATATTATATTAATTAAATTAATTTAGCAACTTTTTTTTTAATTCCAATTAAAGTATATGATAATCATTATAATATAATTAACATCCAAATAATCTTATTTTAAAAAAAAATTTTAAAACTTAAACTTTTGAACTACTCATATTACTATTACTGCTATTATTCCTTATGAGTAATTGTATCAAATTATCAGAAATAAATAAATTAATTATTTGAAATATATCGAATGTTATTGCCTGATTTTACAACCGATAAATCGATATACTATATGATTTCAAATTTTAGTATATAGATTACTTCAATAATTATCATAAAGGAAGAGATGAAACAAGAGAGGGAGATAGGAGAGAGAGAGAGAGAGA